GCCCCCCGGTTTGGCCGCCATGTGTTGGAGTTTACCCCGGTGAACGAGAGGGTCACTTCCCTGCACCTTCGGGTTAGGGATAGGTCTCTCACTGCCGTTTGTGCCTACGGGCCGAATGGCAGTGTGGAGTACCCGGCCTTCTTGGAGTCCCTGGGAGGGGTGCTGGAAAAGGCCCCGACTGGGGACTCTGTTGTTCTACTGGGGGACTTCAACGCCCACGTGGGCAGCGACAGTGACACCTGGAGGGGCGTGATTGGGAGGAACGGCCCCCCCGATCTGAACCCGAGTGGTGTTTTGTTATTGGACTTCTGTGCTAGTCACAGTTTGTCCATAATGAACACCATGTTCAAGTATAAGGGTGTCCATCAGTGCACATGGCACCAGGACACCCTAGGCCGGAGGTCAATGATCGACTTTGTGGTTGTTTCATCTGACCTCCGGGCGTATGTCTTGGACACTCGAGTGAAAAGAGGGGTGGAGCTGTCAACTGAGCACCACCTGGTGGTGAGCTGGATCCGATGGCGGGGGAGGAAGCTGGACAGACTGGGCAGACCCAAACGTATTGTGAGGGTCTGTTGGGAACGTTTAGCAGGATCCCCTGTCAGAGAAATCTTCAACTCCCGCCTCCGGCAGAGCTTTGACCAGATCCCGGGGGAGGCTGGAGATATTGAGTCCGAGTGGACCATATTCTCCACCTCCATTGCCAATGCGGCTGTTCTGAGCTGTGGCCGTAAGGTCTCCGGTGCCTGTCGTGGTGGCAATCCCCGAACCCGGTGGTGGACACCAGAAGTAAGGGATGCCGTCAAGCTGAAGAAGGAGATATTACATTGTTGTGAATTTGTCAACTACTGTTTCCAAGGTAACTGTTCTATTCTGTTTATTCACTGATTGCACTTTTGTTCAGAAAAAAAGTTGACTCTGTGCTGTTGAAAAGCTGTTATTTACAAAATGTCATCTTTGCAGAGACGGATCAACACGGTTTGGTTTTCAGCAGTTTATCGACTGTCTGCTCAACCGAAGCCTTTCTCTGCACTGTTGGATGTTTATTTAACCCCTCGCTGAAGTTAAACGTCATCACTACATCAAATCATGCTCCCTTATCTTGTCTATTCAGCCGAGCTTTCAGAATTTAATCAGTATGGCTGTGTGTGTCTGTGTGGTTGCCACAGTGTGTATTTAAATACGTTTCTGTCTGATAAATTGCTATTCTTACTCGAGCTAACAAGCTGATTTTTGTGTGTGTTTCTATGTGTGGGTAGTTGTGTGTGAAATGTGTTTTTTAGTGTTTAAGTTTGATTATAAATTACTGTCAGATCTGTCTCTTTCGGCAAAACTAGAACAGGAAGAAGAGAAGGGGTGTGTGTGTTGGGGTGAGCTCTTGCATACCTAAAAATGTCTCTCCCCATTACAGACACACTCCTGCCCTGCAGTGCTCCTTTTTTGGTCCACTGTGTGTCCCTCTCTGCTTCACCTCTCTTTTGTTTCTTCTTCTCTCTTCACTTCAGTCTCTGGCACCTCCTCCTCCTTCTTTTTCTTGTTTTACTATGCATTGATCCTCAGCAGGCAGGCGACTTCAGCGAGTAGGTTTTAATGAATGCTGTGGCCTAATGGTTTTGTCATTGGCCTCAGCTCAGCCACAGCGATGGCTCTGCTGTAAATTGTTTTCTTAACTAACACCATCCATCCATCCATTTTCCTCTGCTTATCCGGGACTGGGTTGCGGGGGCAGCAGTCTAAGCAAAGATGCCTAGACTTCCCTCTCTCCAGACACTTCCTCCAGCTCCTCCGGGGGAATGCTGAGGCGTTCCCTGGCCAGCCGAGAGACATAGTCCCTCCAGCGTGTCCTGGGTCTTTCCCGGGGCCTCCTCCCGGTGGGACATGCCCAGAACACCTCCCTAGGAACCAGACTTCCCTCTCTCCAGACACTTACCAAACCTCCTCAGCTGGCTCCTCTTGATGTGGAGGAGCAGCGGTTCTACTCTGAGCTCCTCCCAGGTGACCGAGCTCCTCACCCTATCTCTAAGGGTGCGCCTGGCCGCCCTGTGGAGAAAGCTCATTTCGGCCACCTGTATTTCGGTCATGACCTAAAGTTCATGACAATAGGTGAGAGTCGGAACGTAGATTGACCAGTAAATCGAGAGCTTCGCCTTACAGCTCAGCTCCTTCTTCACCACGACAGACCGGTACATCGACCGCATTACTGCAGAAGCTGCAACGATCTGCCTGTCAATCTCCCGTTCCATCCTTCCCTCACTCGTGAACAAGACCCCAAGATACTTGAACTCCTCCACTTGAGGCAGGAACTCTCCACCAACCTAAAGGGAACAAGCCACCCTTTTCC